CTTCAGTCAGTGGGTGTGTCCAGATGAGCGTGCACGTGCATTTCCCTGGGGAACAATACTCCATATTTGTGCTGCTGCTGCTTGTCCCCAGGGAATGTCCCTGCACGCGCACTCTGGTGCAGGGCAAATTGCGCTGTGTGGGGTAGGGGATGCACCTGAGCTGGCCCCAGCAGCCTTACCGAGGTCCTGGGGACCTCCCGGGGCTGCAGCTGTGGTAGCCCAGGTTCATGGAGCCTGGCCAGCTGCCAGAGCATGGTGCCCTGTGCGCTGCTGCCCTGTGTGCCACACTGCTTTTATTTAGCATTTTTTTTTTATACTGGGATTTCCAAATATACAGTGCAGAGAAACAAATCATGTGTACAGGGTGTATTTTGCGGCACCTCAGAAGCTTTTGAGGCACTGTAAAGTGCACGTGCATGCTTTTGTGGACGTGCCTAATGGTGCATACCACTGCCACTTTAAAGCAGCAGCCTTTTAGACTTATTGGGCACATCCGTATGAGCATGCACTGTACACTCCTGGGAGGAGGGGGAGGAGGGAGGCACGTGTCCACCAGTTTTGTGTGTGGGGTGGGGTGGATGCAGGTGACCTACTGTGAGCTCAGGGTGGGCGGGAGGCTCAGTGCTCCTGCTGAGAGCCCCATACCACCATGGCAAGGTACTCCCTGCCCACCTGGCAGCAGCAGGGAGCACAACTCCCTGTTACAGTTGTTACTGCACAGTCGGGCACATGTGTAGATGTGCCCACCATTACCAAAAGCATTTCCAGCACCTCCTTGAATTTTCCTTAAAACTCCTCTAGGGTAGCAGACTGGATCTTGCTCAGCAGACTGAAACAGACCACGCTTTTGAGGTGCCACAAAATGTACCCCAGGAATGTAAGTTGGTGCAGTACAGAGCCAAATATAAACTGTGGGAAAAACCTGGTATAAAAAATAAGTGCACCAAGAAAATGGTGTGGTGCACATGGCAGCAGTGTGTACCACCTGAAACCAGAGGCTGGCTGGCCAGAGCCACGCTCCAGCTGTCGGCCAGGCTTCCTGTACCCAGATTGCCACTGCTGCAGCTTCAGGAGTCCCTCAGGACTCCAAGTAAGGCTGCTGGGGCCAGCACCTGGTCTCTTACCCGACTCAGGGCAATTTGCCCCACACCAGAACACACATACAGGGGCATTCCCTGAGGACAACTAGCAGCAGCACACACGTGTCATTGCTATTTGTCCCTGGGGAAATGAATATGTGCACACATCTGAACATACCCATTGAGGTGTTTCTTTCCCTTCTCTGTTACCTTTAAGTACATTTTCATTGTTGGGATTTTTATCTAAAGGACAATCAAAAAGCCAAAAAAGGAAACAGAGATCCAAGGGACCAAAATGGAAATCACCTTCACAAAACTGGTGAAAACACAACTCCACAGGCTCTTGACTGATGCATGGATTTTCTGGGGCCCAATGTAACCCTTGAATTGGATAGTCAGGCACAGCCTAGCCACTCTGTAAAGCTAGCTTGGGGAGTCCGGAGCTGGGCTAAAATAATATTTGGACAGCAACCAGTCAGACTCTGTGAGCAACATAGATAATCACAGTCTATGGTCTGTGGGAAGTACTAGTTAGGAGGCCAATGGGGAGGATGAGGCCATAGGAGAATGACGTGTATGCAAGGGTGACTGGACTGATCCTGTGCAGGTGGCAGCTGCAGGTGCCGGCCCTATCATACTGCCATTAGCAATGGGTGCATCATCTGGACACACCATCCCATAAGTGTGATGCACCATAGAATACTGTGATTAGCAGGAATCTGGGTTTTCTGTTCACCACAGAAAAATACTGTAAAATGTGGATTTTCTCATTTTCAGGAGAAAAACACAGATTTTCTCCTTTGAAGGAGAAACGCATGGGAAACTCTGGCAGAGTTTCAGCCTGCAAGGGGCTAGGGAGAGTGGGAGGAGTGTGATCAGGCAGGGGGTGCCACATGCATGTGTGCACACACATGCACATGGCAGCAAGGCAGCATGAGAACAGCTCCTTTAGCTCCCTGCAGGTAAGTCTGGGGGTGGGGGGGAAGATTGAGGCCCCCATAGTAAGAGAGGGAGGGAGTTGGGCAAGGCTGGGGGCACTGCCCAGCCGGGACGGTGCATGGGGCCTGGGGCTTGGGGCTGCAATACACAGCTGCAGGGCCCGTGTGGGGAGCAGGATGGAGCCGTGGGGGGCTAATTCGGGTGGGGGGGGGGGGCTGGTTCCCCGTCACTGTATGCACTCCTGGGAGGAGGGGGAGTCAGGGAGCACATGTCCCCCAGTTTTGTGTGTGGGGTGGAGGTGGATGCAGGTGACCTACTGTGAGCTCGGGGTGGGTGGGAGGCTCAATGCGCCTGCTGAGAGCCCCATACCACCATGGCAAGGTACTCCCTGCCCACCTGGCAGCAGCAGGGAGCACAAGTCCACACTGTCACCCCCTTTGTTGCCAGGTGGGCAGGGGGCACGTTACACTGGTGGAGCAAGGCTCCCAGTGGCAGAATCAAGCCTCCCCACCCTGTCCTGCCTCGCCGCGCTGGATCTGATGTGCTGGGCCACAGGGAGGGCAGCAAGGCAGAGAGTCCCAAACTGGGACTCTCCTCCGGTCATGGGCTCTGCTCCGGTCATGCCAGCCATGGGGGAGGGGGAGCTGGGCTCCACACTGCTCAGCTGCAGCAGCTGTCACCTCCCACAGGTGGCAGCTGGGGCTCAGGCACTGCTGGGGGGGCGAGGAAGGGAGATGCGAACCTGGGTCCCTAGCCTCATAGCCCTAGCAGCTGGGGGCCCCCGCCGGTAGGGCTGGGGTGGGGCGAGTGGGGAAGTGAGGAGCACCAGCAGGGATGGGTGGCCGTGGGTCCTGAGTGAGGGACACTAGCAGGGCCAGGGGGCTGTGGGTGGGGAGTGAGGGGCACCAGTGGGGCTGGGGGGCTGTGGCTTGGGAGTGAGGGGCGATGGCATGGAGCAGGGCACCAGCATATCAGGGCTGCTCAATGTCACAGAGCAGCGAGGGGGACAGCTGCAGCTGGACCTGCCTCCAGGTGAGTGAAAGGGGCAGAGGGAGCTCTTGATTTTCCATGATAAAAACCCCCAGATCAAATGCCAGTATTTATAGGTATTTAGAATATTTTTATTATAGTGATTGTTGCACTGTAGGCTTCCAAATTGCTTAAAACTGTAACTATATCAATAAAACATTGTGTTCAACAGATACCTATATATATATAGTGGCATTTCATTTTAATTACAAAAAATATGCAGATTTTGGGGTTTTAATCAGAGATTTTGCGATTTTTATCAGAAAATTTGCAGTTTTTAAACAGAGAAAACCAGGATCCCAGGTGATTAGGTACCAGAAACCTGGGCACATTCATGTTCATACAGTGAAAGAGACATGGTACTTTTACAAGTGAACTACATGTGCAGCTTTTCAATTAAATGATTTATGACATCCTCCACTACACACCTTCTTGCCTAGAAGATATGATAGGGCAGAAGTGGGGTGGTATAAGTGGCATGTTGGAGAGTAGGTGTGGGCCTGGGGACTCAGAAAGACTAAGTAAATCTGGTGGAGTCTAGAGGGAGGGTGTGTTAGTGTAACACACATGGACACAAGGGGAGCAGAAGACAGTGCAAGTCATGTGCAGCCATGTTGTTGGTGTACTAGGCTCTCAGTGACCTTTATCTTCCTCCCTCCTATATGCAATATGAATATACAGCAGTGGGACTCAGACCCATTGGCTAACATGGCTGGCATTACTCCATGGTCACAGGGAAACAGGGTGTGACATCCATGCAGGGCTTCTGTGATTTGAGATGCCTTGCTTTGGAGCAGAAAGAACACCTAATGAGAATTTGCTTCTGAGAACTGAGCCTTTTTAATGTTTTGTAAATTGGGCATCCAAGAATTCAGGCACGTAGGACTGCTCAGTACCACAGAAAATGTAGGCTCAAGCAACTTGCCCTGGTTGGACATGACATCTGTGGAAGAGCCACTAATTGAGCTCAGAACTCCAGGCTTTAATTAAAAGGCTGTCTAATCTGAGCTCTGAGCAGGGGAATTAGTGGACTATGGTCTTAAATTTTTGCAGCTAACTTTCTGAAGATGACTAGGGAACCACATATTTACAGTTCTCTGAGACATCTAGATATCTTTTTGAGAAACAGGTCAGCAGTCTCTCTTTTTTTTAGAAATGTTGAAGTAAATGCTAAACAAATAAAGGTATTGCTGCTAGTCTTGTGTTTCTCTCTTGCCTTAACATAGGAGGCATCCCTATAAACAATGGCTGGTAATGGTGTCACCCTTATATGTTACGGAAGTGCATAAGTTCCCCTGGAGAAGTACAAAATGGTGATGCAAATCCTCATGTAAAATGTCTAAGACAGCTTGATTCCCAAAACAATGTATTGAATTCAGTGCCATATCCGCATGTGCTTTTGCACTGACAGTAGTTCCATCCTACACAGCCCAAGACACTGTTGCGACCACGGCAACCGCTTTGCATCCTGTGTTATTTTCCATACAGAAAAAAAGAAAAATTCCCTGCACTGAATTTGCAGGACCTCTGCAGACAGTCCTTATGTATTTAGACATGCTAATTCCTAGGAAGAGTGCTTAGTGTTATTAAAATTGCGCTAGGTTTCCACTGCAGGACTGATCAGCTCCTAACTCTATAATACTATTTTGCCAAATCTGAGTTTCAGCGAAACATGGGAAAAAGAAGGGAACATCTGAGTTCAAATTGGTTGGCTTGCCTCTCTGCAGAGCCATGAGCCTTCTTTCTCTGTCTCTCACTTTGTCAGAGCTTTATGGCAGCTTATAAAGAAAGGAATTGTCTCTTCTCTTCCTGCCAAGCTAAAAATCCCACTTTGGTATTCACAGTACAGTGATGACAAATGCATGGCCTGTGTTCTGAGTGTTCAGGGAAATGTAAAAACATGTCTAGTTGTTGTGAATGCTCACATGGTGATTTGTTGGTCTGATTCTTCAGGTCGTGAATTGGCAAGCACAACCCTCCCAGGATACCCTCCTCACGTCCCCCCTGCCGGACAGGGCAGCTACTCTGCTCCAACGCTGACAGGAATGGTGCCTGGTGAGTTTTCAAAAAAAAAAAAAAGCATTTCAGAAGCAAAGCCAAGTGCTTTGCAATTGTTCTGCACTGATGCCAGCAAAAGACAGAATTGTACTGATGAAAGGAGAAAAGCAGGTGTAAAGCAGGCCCAACTAAATAAACAAACATCCCTCCAGTGTGAACAATAATCTCATCTTTCAGCCATCAAAGCAGGTGATTCAGACCAATTTGCTGAAAAAGGCTCCAGCCCCTCCTAGTATGGCAGTCTGCTTGCTGTATTCTTCATAAGATGCTGTCAAACTTTTCTCTCTTTCATCACATGAATAATTTTAATCAATGTCTTTGTTATGAACATGTCATATGCATTTGTGCAAATGGACTGGGGTCAGCATTTGGCCAAATCTACTTAACAAATTTTGGCATTTTGATAGCAGGGCAGTTTGGTGGGAATTCAGTGGCAGGGATATTTTGTGGTGGTTGATGGCATCTGGGTCTCACATTAGTATCAGTTTGGTGGCAGAGAGAAGCAGCTGTGGTTAGGTTGGGCATCAGCCTACTTGTGACCGAGCTGTATCATTTGGGCTCCTAAAAGGCTACAGACCCCAGGACTAGACTAGTTGTTGGGATTTGTCAGGCTGAAAATGCTCAAGTCAGTACTTTTTTAGCACTAAATCTTAACAGTTTGAGTGTCTTTGGTGAGTTATGGATTTTTTTCCTCCATGTTTTTCCTGTTCATTTCTCTTTTTGAACAATGTTTTCACATTTTTGAGAGAAGACTAGCCTTGTGGTAGAAGGGGTCAAGCACTAACTGGCAAATAGTGAGCGCCTTCAACTCCCTTGGAAGCCAATGGGAGCTGAGGATGCCAAGAATCTGACAAGGGGTGGGATTAAGCCATTATGCATGTAATGCATTTTACATTATTGCCATTATTAGCACCTTTTAACTATGAATTAATAAATGGTTAATCAATCACTTAATCTATAACCTTTGATACTATGGCAGTATCATATGTACTCCAGAAATATGGGCAGTGATAGAGCTAGCCAGATAAATATGATATTAAAGAGTATTAATTTGTATTTGCTCCTGACTTAAATATGTAAAGGCAGATTCAGATGCTGGTATAAAACAAAACTCTCTCTTTCACTTCAAAAGAACTATGCAAGTTTATACTACCCAAAGATTTTGTCCTTAGAATCCGTTACAGCTGAGTTAAGTATTAAGGATATTGCTGTTTGCTAGAAAAGTGCTCTGCAGTATTGTGAGTGCAAAGCATTAAAAAAGATCATGTGATTTAAAAATCACGAGACTTTTAAAAATAATATTTTTGAGGTTCATTGTTTTGCCTTCTGCTATTTGCACCTTTCTGGTTCTCTCTGGACATATTTTAAGCTTCTCTTCTCAGCCATAAAGATTGGAAAGCTACTTTAAAAAAAATGAACTTAAAATCCTGACAAAATCACATGACTCCAGCAGCTGAGAATTTAAGAGGAATATTAGAAGACATGCAATAAAGCACAGATAGTAATGCCAGCTCTGTCCCTAGAGCACGTCCAAATTCAGTGATCAGTTTTGAGTGTATTCAGGAACTTGTGTCCTAGTAATGCCATTAAGGAATTAGGAAAAGTTTATTCATTTTAGACATTAATTAGTTTTAGGAACTCACTGCATGAAATGGGTAATTGTTAATAATATAGGGTGCCTATACACAAGTGCGGAGGCTGCTTCGACACACTGGAATTCCATTGCATTGGAGCAGACTTGATTAATCAAATCTGCTGGAGCATGGTGATTGCCACGCTCCAGCAGCCTCCTGGGTCTCGTGTGCCAGTGTCCCCGTGCTTAAAAATGGTGGCTGGGGGTCAAGCACCCCAGCCACCATTCAATGAGCTTTAATTCAAGTGCCCCCGCTGCCATTTTAAAGTGCGTGGATGCTGATATAGGAGACATGGCAGTGCTTTAATTAAAGTGACTCTTGGACCTTCTGAGTGAGGGAACCTACATTTTTAAAGGCATTGAGGGATTTGGAGAATCCAGCAGGGGGCACTTTGAAGAGAACTGACTTTTAGAAAATGCTAAGCACCTGTGTGTTGAAAACCAGGCCCCTTTAACGTGTCCCTAGCCTGGCAAGCCAAAACTAAAAATCACAAGTCCATTTTTACAGTTCAGCTGGTGATGTTTCAAAGTGGTTCCACTATACACTCCAGGCATAGCCTTATTTTAGTAGTCCCAAATGTCTGCCAGAATACACATAAGTAGGAGGGTGGTCCATAGGTCAGTATGTTAGGTTGGGACATGGGTTCAGTTCCCTGCCCTGCCAAGGGTTTCAAGTAATTCACTTACGTGGGATTTAAAAGAGCTCCTAAGTATGTTAGACATGTAACTTCCATGGAAAGCACCTGTTCAGTTGTTTTTGAACATCCTTGTAGGTTTCTATCTATACCTTTAGATGCCAAAATACCTTTGAAAGTCTGTCTCTGTGCCTCAGTTTTTCTGTATGAAGACAATATCAGCAGCCAATGCCTCTCAAGGGGCAGAGAAGATAAATGCAGTAAAGATTAGGTACTACTGTTACATATCAATACCTAAGATAGAGAGGCATGGCAGAAGTTAAGACAGTATGGTATTTGGCAGAGTTTAGAAAGTGGAAATACAGTGCAAGTTCAGTGATGTAGGCTCATTTGAGCTGATTTTCCTGTGTAGTAGAATTTATTTTTAACTACACCTAGGCTTGTATGACCCATTAGATTGAATAACTGCACTGTTCCTCTCACTGGTTCCTTTAATAACAACCTTCTGCTCCCACAAGGTTGAAGGTCAGCTGTAATTCTTTTAGGTACTTCTCATTTAAGTGAGAATTTGCTAACTAGCATCCAAAATACCTTCTCAATCCTCACTTGTCTCTTGTCACTGGCAGGGCCAGTTTCAGAGGCATCTTTAGCATTGAGCACAGTCTTGTGCAATTTGCCTCCGGAGTAGCTGACAGATCAGCATGAATGCCATATGCACATCAGTGCTTGTGCTCTGATATGGCTGAATTATTGTCCTGAAATTTAGACAAGGGGAATGTTTCTTTTGCTAATTCTCTGGGATTCACTCCTACACCTGCCACTTCCCTGTAATAATTTTCAGAGCATATGTTAAAAATGTGTTTATTTGATAAGACCTTTAATTGTTAGCTATGAACAATTAACTAATTGTGTCAGCGAAATACTTAGAGACACAGGAGAAATATATACATGATAAGACATACATGATGTTTTGTTGCATGCTTGTCGTTGCTGACATTGCTTATGCTATTGTGAATAACCCAGTCCCCAGCTACAGAGTGTGTGCAGTATTCATCAAGGCTTCCTGGAATGTGTGTGCAGGAGGCTGGGGAAAAAAACACTCGCCACTCTCGCTTTGCATGAGTGTTAAATCTGAAAATTCATGGATAAGAATATTCATCACTGGTATTCCAAAGGGGGAAATGGGAGCTTCGTATTTTCAGCTCCTTTTTTATTTTCTACTTGCCCCAGTCTTAGCTGTCTCCCTGTTTTTCCCCTCTCTCTGATATCTTAAGCCCTATTCTGAAGCCTCATAACTTCATCAGCACTGCGTTGCAAGTAGACCTGATCTTCCTGCTCTGTGCCACCGCCCAGGAGAATATACCCTTAAAAGAGCAGACCATCTTTGCACAACAGGTGCACCAAGTCCAAGATGGGTCATGTTTACCCAGGGAAGGATGTATGTGCCCCTGGTTGGTTGAGACTAATCATCTTTTGCCTAAACCATGACTCCCCATTAGCAGGTCACCCTGGAACTGAGACAACTTACTGGCTCACCTCCTTCTATTTTTAGTGGCCATGACTGTACAAGACGGTGTGGGCCTCCATCCACTCTTGTAATGTTTGGGTCTGCACCAAGAGACCATCTTAGAAGCCCTCTGGACTCCTGCAACCCCTTTCCAACTTTGTCCTGGTTGTTATCCACAATCTCCCTAGACTTCATTGTAGAGCTGGAAGTCCAACTATCTACCACTATCTACCTTACATGGAGTATGCTGGCTCCAGGTAAGGGTGGTATCACATATTCAATTTAACATATACTAAGTGCTGTAACAATGCAAGCAGATGCATGTTCAAGCACTTCAGTAGGTGGCAGGTACCCTTGTGATGTTGCAAAGTTGTCCCCTATCTTTTAACACGCTAACTTTAATGGGAGCTCTGTTGCTTATTAAGTATGTGTTAAATTTGTGTGGTATTAAAGTGCAAACACATTCTCGGCAGTCACAAAGTAACATTTACTACAGTTTCTAAAATGCGTAGCTCAGTGATTGTCAGTCCCAGCCATGGCAGCGCACAATAATTCTGAACTGCCTCTGGTGCAGTTCTGGGGCTGGGACTGACAATCAGCTGATTGTCAGTCCCAGCTTCCAGCATCACAAACAGGAGTCTTGAAGTGGCACCCAACTTTCAATTAGATCCCAGAGGAACCTGACAAGTGAAAGGTCCAAGATCCTTCCTCCTGATATGTGTAGTTTTCCTCGTATCATTTGGAGGCTTGGTACAGCAGAGGGTCCCTGGCTGATGGATGAGGTGGGAATGTAGATTTTTCATATTATCTCTGTGGAACAGTCTGATGATAGCTGAACATGTGTTACCTAAAAAGTCATAACTTTGCCATCATACAAGCACACTTAGCATGTGTTTTGCTGATCAAAAACACAGTTGCTCATGTTTTAAGTGCATTTAATACATGCTAAGGGTAACATGCAGCATGGCCTTAGGCAACAACACTCCAATGATTTGCAGTTTTTGCAAGTACCATCCTAACATATCCCAACTTTAATAAATCAGAACATTTCAATCATTTGTGACTTGCACATGAATGTGTGACCAGGCCCTTGGAAATACTCT